GTCGCTCATATGTATATATATAAAAAATTAAATGATATATTGTAGTAGCTGTGTAGTCAAGCATATTTACTACCCTTTAGTTTTATTTAGGAAGGCACTGACATTATAAAATGTAGAAGAATAGGTCTGTGATCTTGTGTTCATGACAGTAAATCTCTTTGAAGTATCCCTCTGGAATAAGCTTTTTATTCACATTATGTGAGTTAAAACGTTGCCACTATTTCAGCTGTTTGAGCAACATAACAAAGACACAGAGTCAGTATTTGGCCCAGTTCTGTAGCCAGTGTTGCCCAAAGGTTTGTTGTGTTTAGCCTCGACTGTCTGTGTCCCGTGTCATGTCTTTGGTGATGGATCCGTTTATATTAGCAGGCAGACATGGCATTTCACAGCAGCCTGCCTTACAGCACTATAAATAGTAATAATTTCAGCCATAGTGTCACAACCTGCTGTGATACAAAGTGACTCATATGAACATGTCATGAAAAAGCTTTCGTGTAAAACTCTCCTTTCCTCACGAACCTAAATGACTTACCGGAGATGCAACGAAGAAGAAACTTTCACCACCTCCCCTTTATTGTCCTCTCCTGATGTTTATATCGCTCAATCATTCAATGCAAGTGTTGACTTCATATTTTCTATTTGGGGCATTCATGTGCTGTTTACTATCGAAGCAGTAATAGTCACTTAAGTAGATTCAGTTTGACACTTGGACATTTCAAATCAACTAGAGATGAAAGAATTAGATCAACGAAAAGTTAATCGGTTATTTCCTTAATTTTTGCTTTATTTATCATTGCAAGCTGAAGATCCTTTGGTTTAGGACTACATTAAGTTCTTCAAGCTACTTGTACTTTGTAGTAGAAGTATTTTATGCTACTTTATACTTCTACTACACTACATCTCGGAGGTAAATATTGTACTTTTTACTCCACTACATTTGTCCGACAGTTTTAGTTACTTTACAGTATCTCCAGATGTGTTGATTTTGAAGCCTGGAAAATACATCGTCACAAATCTGAAAACAGCTGTTTTTCTTCATAGAGATACGTGCTCCTCACAAACGTATGAGGAATAAAATATGATGTGTTGTTCTAGATTAAATATAAAGGATTCAAAAACATCTACAACAGTAAAATAAATATATTTAATTAGTGGAAGAAGTAGTATTAAGACCATGTACTAAACTAAAAGTAGCACTTGGTTTATTCGTATTGATGCATTCATATTTACATCACTCACATGTTGGAACTGGTAAAAGTAGCTTGTGAATTTCTAATCAAGTCAATAAAGTTTTTTCTTCATCTATCACATATTGCATCAACAGAAATGATGATGATGCAAAGTAACTAGCTGTCGGATACATGTAGTTTACATGTCTTCACTGTATATTACAGTAACAGACATTTCACCTCAGAATGAGTTATTGTACTGTTAGTACTGTATGTACAGTTTGCTGATAGGCTACTTTCACTTAAATAAGGTTTTGAATCCAGGACTTTTACTTGTAGTGGAGTATTTTCACATTGTGGTATTGGTACTTTTACTTCAGTCAAGGCTCTGAATACTTCTTCCACCACTGCGGCCCAGGTAACAGTACACCTGTGAGAGCCAGGTGTGTTACGTGAGACAGGAAGGAAGAGCGTAGAGAAATGTGTCAGATAAGGCTGTTACGTTCAGCCTTATCTGACAGCACATGACGTCGCTAATAGTCTCGCGCTAATGGTTCCCGCCCCCTCCGGTGACGTCATGATACTGGGCCAAATCTAGCTGAAACCACAGGAATGCGACACACTTTTTTGTATTTGCAGCCCAAAGCTACGGTGCTTTTCTGTGTTCAAATACACTCACGTCTATGTTGTACACGCCCACCGCCGTTATCTGTCACCGGGTTAGTTTCCTTCCACGAAGACGTGACGACGAGTGAGTTTAACTTCTTCACGGAAACAACTTTGTTGCTCCAGAGTCTGTTTTCTCCTCCGAGTTCTTCCTCAGCGCTGACATGAGATCAGGTGGATAGCGTGTCGCTGTACCTGTGACTGCAAGTGAGTTATCCCGACAGGAAATGGAGACTCTTCTCACACTATCGCTGTATTATATATTTTAACTCCAGAGTTTTGTCGTTACAACTTCAGGTAACGTCGCGGCTGCTGCACCGAGCGAGAGTTAATCTGGGGAGAGTTAATCTGGGCCACGACAACAACACTGTTGTTAAAATCTCACCGCGTGGATTAGCTGTGAGTCGGGGGGGGGGGCATAGTAATGTTATTGTTTTCCTTGTGTGAAGGGAGCGAAGAACGATCCGTGTTTCACATCGACAGCTGGGAACTGTTCGCTCTCCTCTGACCGACTCTCACCATTCAGACCTGGTACTGACTCTTATTGGTGACGGTAGATGCAGCTGTTGGACTCCCGGGCTTCCGTCTCTCTTTGCACAGGTGTTGGTGACACTTGTGGTGGGGGGGCATATTTGCGATTCCCTGTTTGTCACTGTGTTCAAACTCTGTAGGAAGTTGTGTATTTGTGTTCTCTTCTGCAGGAAGTTTGTTTCATGCATTTTATGTTATTTAACAAAGTAGTTTGAGACTATAAATGATGACCTATGATTCATTATTGTATATGTTCTTTGGTCTGAGATATACATATGGAGCTGCCCGTGGTCGGTAGTTTCTCTGCTTCTTCATTTTTGAGTGTTGAGAGAATAAGAATCAGGTTTACGGATTTAGGGAGGAGGCCTGTTTGATATGTAGGATTCATTCCTTTAGTAATGTGCAAAACAAAGCAAATATCTAATTTTGTCTAGATTTTTTTTGTTTGTTTTGTTTAAATCTCCGAGTTGTGAGAATTGTTGAACCCTTACTTAATTTAATGAGGAACAGATGTGATTAAATAAAAATGATCTAATCCAAAGTCCTCTGAATCGCAGGTCTGGATGTTACACGAAAGAATAATATTTACAGATTATACTAAGGGCTCACATATGCAGAGATTAAATGATAACGGCTCCTTCAAATTGTAAACATTCAACATACTTGGGGTTTTGTTTCTTCAGCCATGAGTCGAGTCCCCTGATATGAAGTCCTACCTTTACGTGAAATGCCTCCTGTCCTGTGTAGACTAACTGTTTGGACTCCCGATGATCAGGAGTATAATCCATAAATGTATGATATTCTGTTTTGACCAGATCTTCTTCAGCATGTATGTGCTCTGATGAAATGACTGAGATCTGTTGTTAACCTGTTGTTATATTAGCTGGGTGATGCAGTTTTATGTCATGTGAGCTCTGTGTCTGAGCCACCTAATTTACTATAATATCAGTCAGATGTCAACAGGCACACCAAGTCTCATATTGAAGCTGACACTGTTACACATGCACAGTTTTGTTAAGAATTAATTATCACCCCTGATTCAGCACTAGCAAGCTAATATAAGAGCAGCACAACAACAATGGTAACCTGAACAGCCCTATTGCCTGCTTTTGGGCATCTCACTTTTTGAATCAGTGTCTCAGTGAAGAGCTAACACCTGTGCGTTCATTTTGTAGCTTTAATGAAGGGACCAAAAACAACTCTATATTAAATCTAGCGTGAGAGAGATTACCGCCTGGTAATGTTTAATGTTTTTTTGCCTTGGCTGGGGACTTTGTGTGCTGTTGTTGTCATTGAGAGGCCATATACTGCCATAACTCTGTAAATGTGGTCAGCTGTGAAATGTAAGGATGTATGACTCATTGTGGCCTCTATGTGAACAAGAGTGTTTCTATGCATTCATTCAAGTTGTTTTCATTCGACAAAAGACTGTTATTACATCTTCCAACTTGTAGTAATTGAAAAAGTGTTCAGAATACTAAAGTTAAGCATCGGTATTCAGTCCATGAGCTTTTTAGGTATTTTGTGAATATTAGTTTTTATATGGAAGAATGATTTGCTTCTCAAGAGCAGGACTGATGGTCTTCCTCCCTGATTTTGTTTTCATGCACGATGGTTTGTTGCATGGTGGGATGAGAAATTAAGTGAATCACCCGGTGCCATAAAGATTTATTTTGGCTCATTGAAGTGTGTTTGTATTGGCCGAGTGTTGTCAGTGTTTTCTTAGGGAGATAGTTGTGCACGGTGTGGCTCGATGGAGCCGCAGACAGAAAATCATTACAGCGGAGGGAGGAGCTGTGTGACCCTCTGAGGTGTTTTCACAGTGTGGCTTTTCCCACAATGTATGACCGGGTGGACCTGATGTGATCAGAGGGTTATTACTGGTAACTCACTTAATGTGAGGTCACCACTGGGTCGATAATAGGATACCGTTTGTAATCAGCAGGTGCTGTAAAAATAAATTAAAAAAATCACCAAGATGACAGAACCGTGCTCTGAGAAGCTGTAATTATATTTTATATGTGGACATCTTTAATTGTTAAATAAAACATTGGAGAGAACAAACGTTTTGCTTGTTAAGTTCTCCAAATATGTAACTGCACTGTAGAAAGTCAGATTCTTTTCTTCATTCATAGTATTTCAGACTTTGAATACAGTAATTTTGAGTGTTGGAAAATTATTCTCATTATCTTGATTTCAACCACATCATTCAAATTTAGTGTTTTTTTTCTTTTTACAATTATGTTGAAAGAGAACCATTTTTTTGTGTTGACTGTTTGTCATAAATGACTTTGTCATTGCTTGCATGAATTAGTTTCTTGTGCAGTGACAACAATGTGTTTGACTTATTACTAACACTCTACATTGTGCTATGGTAGGTTTACAATTGCTCTCTGAAATCAATAAGTAGAATCAAAAAGCATGTTTCCTCACAAATTCACCGCCCTTATAAATCCAATTCAGACCCGTTTCATTCCCGACTGTATCATTACAGCTAAATAGTGTTGTTGTGACTGACAGTGTGTTTTTCCGAGCGTGGACCACCCATGTGCAGTACTTGAATCAGACCGGAGGACAGCAGCTTCATCCAGGGCTCATCAGCCTGGCTCTAGACCCGCAGACCGGACAGGCTTTCTCACTGTTCAACCAGGCATACAGGGAGAGAGAGGGGGAGAGAGGAGAAGTGGGAGGAAGGGGGAAGGAGAGCAGAAAGAGAGGTCGAGGGGAGTGGTGGGATAGTGATGGATATTGAGTGGGAGGGTAAAACACAGAGGGAAGCTATGACTACAGTGACCGCTGTGTTCAGGGAGGGGTTGCTTATTGTGCTCTGTGAGAGGAGCGGTCCTTTTATAGCTTCTGGTTGACTCTGCATGTATGTGAGCATTAACTCTGTTTGAGTGGGCGGCGCGGTGCAGCAGTGAAGCTCTGCTTCTGTTTCTATCCTCGGTTTCAAAGAGTTTGTCCAAAGCCACGCCCCATTTGATGGGCATGATTTATACTCAGTGGAGGCACTTTTGTCTTTGAGCTTTCTGTGTGCACTTTTATTGGCATAGATGTTACGGTAATATTTAAAAATCACAATGTATTATTTTAGCATTTATGCTTTGTTCTTTTGCTTCAAAGTTGTTGGAACAAGGTTCCATGTCTTGATAGATCTCAAAAAGTTTAAAATTAATTTCAATTCTTGGTGTAAAAAAGTTGCAAATATGGTTTAATGTGTCAATTTATTCTGGAAAAAAAATAGATTGACCTCAGTACACTATTTTACTTTTGCGGAATCTAACTTGTTTTATTGTCGCACCTCACTATTTTATTTTTTTGGTGATATTCTGTGAGGTTTCAGTAGTAGTTCGGTCAACTCTAAAAACTGATTGATCCATGGTTTGTGTCTTTGCTGTCTGAGCCATTTGATGCTTCAGTCTGTGTGTTTTTGTTTAATTCATTAATTCATCCATATTTATGAAATGAAACAAATGACTTAGTGGTCAGTGATATTCTATGTACTCAGGAACATGTGTGGTTGGTTTGAAGTTGTGTTCCAGATTTATTTAATTTAGGTATTATTACTTTGACTCAGTTGGTCAGTTCAACAGTTTGTAAAACAGTCAAGGATTGTTTGCTGGAAACTGTCGTTATTTTATTGGTGTTTAAAAATCCACTATGGGTCGACCTCTAGTTATTACATCCTGACCCTTCATGTGCATTTATCGGTCACAGAATTGCACACCCAAACTCACATTGTGATGTAAAGCCCTCCCACACAGTTCTGTTTATTCGTACTACAAACAAGTCATCTACGTGCCACCAAGCAAATGAAGTTGCTTCTCAAATAAAGCCCTGTGAGGTCAGAGCTCTGTAATCTGTTTACTGTTTACCACACAGCCTTAGTTACAGTTCAACTCTTTATCACGTCTTGGCTCTTGACAGCAGCAGTAAAATCTTGCAACCACTCGAGCTAAGAGTCCCTGATATCTCCAGATGCAGCCTAAAAGCCCCGGATTTAACAGCCACAATCCTCCGCGGTTCACAGCCAGACTGCCGTCTCTATGAGACGCTCAGCGTCTCAATCCCCTCGTGGCCATTTCTCATGCTGATCTACAGTTTGCTGAAGGTCCTTATTCTTTCAATAAAACATCACCACCAACAGCCCTAACGGTTCCTTTCTTGCTTATAGAAGACCTAATCATTGGGTGCATGACATATTGGTTTATGTTATTGTGCTCTGTGGGTCATATGATTTCTTCAGCCACCACTCATTTTGTACTCTCATGAGCCAGTAGTTACTATCTGTGTCCCAGAGTTTAGATGCATTGATTTGTGGGCCTCTTCTCTGTTGTCACCACACTCATTATGCATTTATAACCAGTGTTATAACCTCGCTGTTATGAGATCTAAAATCCAGTGTTGCTCGTTTGGTGGAGTAACTGAACATGTACTTTGAACATACCGGCACTACGTCAATAGTGAAATATCTGATATGATTTATTAAAGGTCTAGATGTGATGAAAAACATGCTCAAATATTTGAGGATTAATGTGACCGCAAAATGATAGAATGACCGAGTTGCTACTCTGTCACTTTAAAAAAGTCCCTGGAGCATATTGTGATTTATATTGTCATTATGCGTTCTCATTAAAAAGCTATGACATCTAATAGTAATTCATAAGCAAAGCTATTCATTTAGCTGAGCCATAGAAGCATCATGCTGAGGATAAGTGTTGCTTCACTGACCCATCGCAACGTGCAACAACACTTGTGCAACATGTCTGCAGATAAATCTCCACATTAGCAAAGTACCCTCATGTCTCTGGCCTGTTTGTAGTACAACGCTGCATTGGAGCTCTGTGTCGGTGCTGTCATGGCCGTGAACCTCACTTCTCTCAGCGTGTTGCCGGGCGGGTCCGGCTCCACTTCAAACACTCGTGCTGTGAAAGGCTTCACTAACGCTGCAGACTGTGAACCATGACTCATGACTTCTAACTCATGACCCGCCCAGATTGCCCTCTCACTCAGTTTTTTTTTTTTGTGTTCTTGGTGAAGTATTTTGTAGAAAAACCAAGAAGAGAACATTGTGTTTGTCCCACCACTCCTGTTGCCTCCTCTGGTCTGCTTGTAACACACCAGCGGGCCTCTGTTTGAGTACTGAGAGTGTCTCGTTTGATGCCCACTGACAAAGCAGCATGGTTGAGAGGGAGGCTATTTACAAGCCAAGAAATGGTGAGCAGTGCTTCACAGGATACTTTGTAAACTCAGAAATCCTCCACCATCTGAGGGTTTTTTATTCCAGCCAACCACAATAGCAGCAGATTTTAATATTTATACTGATTAGATGACTTTGATGATGCACTTGTTCCTGTTATGGACTCACTGTATAACAATATGAGGCAGTGAGTCATCTGTTGAGTGTTTGATGGTTGTTTATTTGTGCTTAAGAAAGTACCAACCATGAAACAATGAGAGAAAAACGTGTTTTTCTCTCATTCACAGCACCACCACGCTGCCTCTCTTCTATCGCCCACGCCATCGCTCTCTCTCTCTTTTGTCTCTTTTCTTAAATGAGTCGAGAAGTCGACGACAAAGCCTAACTTTACTTGTGTTTTTAAACAAAGAAAAAAATGCTCCCCCGTCCCAAATCGATACGAGATTACTTCCTCGTTTTATGAAGCAGTACGCTGTTTAAAGAACCAATCGGAGACGCTCATGCCTGCAAACCCCGACCGGAAAGATCCTGTTCGACCGGGGGGGGGGGGCAGTACTTTGTCTTCTGTGTGAAAAGACCTGCATTGTCAACAAGTCGTTTACTCAATCGGAGGTCGCACTCTATTGGTGACACTGTGCTGTAGTTATTTTAGCATGTCTAATATTTTGTCCCCCTAGTTGACGTTTGGTGTATACAGGAGTCAAGATATTATTCATACTTTTAGTCCCTTTTGTACAGTGATTAGCGGAAAATAAGTTACAACTGAAAATAACATTTTGCCCACCTTACACACTTGAATGCATTCGCGTGTTAAAAGGGTATACTTTCTACTTTTTAACTTGCACCTTTCTGTCGGTCTATCTTTTTTTAAATCTATCCATCCAGCTTTTTACCTTTCTATCTTTCTTTCTTTCTTTGGGATTCATAGCACCCCATCATGGATGCCAGTTCTTTTGCAGCCATAAAATTGAAATTTGTTCTCAAAGGGAAACGTCACCAGGCAGTGTGTTTAGATACAAGGGCTGGGGAAAGTTGTCAGAGGCATCCTCTCGCTTTCACACTCTTATTCAGAATCATGTCCAAAATACACTATGCTATGTACTGAACGTGACAAGCACAGATTGACAGTCAGTTAGTGGTGTAACAGTATTGGGGAATCTCTAAAAGTCATATTTGCAACCTTTCTTTTTCTGCTGATCCGTGACTCTAAATAGCAATACGATCGTAACCATGAGTTTTGTGACCTTTGACCCCCTACTCGCAGTGGGGCTGAGGCGGCGAGAAAAGTAGCCAGTGATGACGAGTAAGCAGCTCTTTGAGGGCGCTGCTCTGATGTCTGGGCTTGTTGTGTTGTCATTAGGAAATACTGGAGCAAATCTTAAATACTGATTCATATGTTCAAATACTATTTGAACAGGTGTGTTTTCAGGTATAATATGTGTTTTCTGAAGTTGTCTGTGCCCGCCTGCATGCATGTGTTACATATACCACTTGGAAGAATTACAGTTTTCCTCCGTCTTTCCTGCTAATCCTCCCTCTCTTTCCTCCTTCCTCCCTTGCAGGTCTGATGCTAGGCTGCAGCTGCCACGGCCGCCATCATGTTCACCAAAAAGAAGAAGTCTCGCATCCAGATCTCCGCTCCCTCCAACTTTGAGCATCGCGTGCACACAGACTTTGACGAGCAGGAGCAGAAGTTCGTCGGGCTGCCGCGGCAATGGCATTCGCTCATCGAAGATACGGCCAAGCGGCCCAAACCCTTCATCGACGCGACCGTCATCACTACTGTAGAGCCGCGCAAGGTGGGAGGAGCCAAAACATAATAATAATCTATCTCGAATGTCACGAATTATGTTTATTAGTTTGTGGATTTTGACCAAGCTGGATTTTGACTGATTATAACTCAAGATACTGATGTGTAGCCACCCAAATTTTAACACATGGTCACTGCAGTGCTTCGGTCTTCAAAAGCCTAATTTTTAACAACGGCCAAGTTGACAGCTGTGTAGACCTACTTTCCTCCACACAGAAAGAGGGAATTGATAAAGAATGGGACCGATATGCTGATTTGATGATGGCATTTGTTTCTATAATATCCTCAGGCCTTTCCTCTGGTTCACTCTTCACTCTTTTCCCTCCAGACAATTGTACGTGGCAGCAAGCTCGGAGTGGACGGCTCTCTGACCTGGCTGCTGGACGAGTTCGACACCATGTCCGTGACTCGCTCCAACTCCCTGCGACGGGGCAGCCCCCCCATCCAGCCCCGCAAGGACTCTAGGTCTTCAGGAGGAGGCGGGCAGGAGAACGGAGACCCTCACCACAGACACCACTCACACCCAGACAGGTGAGTAGTTCAACCGCAGCGCGTCAGCAGCATCATCATCATCATCATCATCATCAAAGCAAAGAGATTCTGTCAATACAAGCCAAGTATGTGCACTGACCTTTGCATCGCTCTGCTTCTAGAGACCAACCCAGACCGGAACACCACCAGAGCGGAGGTGACCACCGCCAGGGTCCACGCGCGCTCCGTCCTCAGTGGGATGAGGGAGACCAGGGCCGGCCCCAGCAGCAGCCCCGGGGCCAAGAGCCCAGCCGGGCCCCCAGGGACAGGGACAGGCCTGGCTCCGGCCCTCCTCCTCCACCTCATAGAGACAGAGAGCATCGGGAACGGGGTCAGGTAAGGACTCAAGAAGAACCCAACAAGATTTATTATTTGCTGTTCAAAGGACTCATCTGGCTCTCTTTCTTGCAGTCATGATCTTCCAGACCAATAGCATTAAACGTGTTGGTATTTCCCACATTAACGAGAGATTTGAGTTTGTTTAATTTGACACTGCAGCAGGATTGCACCCTGTAGTTGTTGGTGTGCTTGTTTTCTTCATTTTTAATCCACGTTTCCTGTCTCAGTTTTTTCTTTCACACATCCTGATAAACCGTCCATCTCTCACCCAAACCCTGCCTCTCTTCAGGAGCAGGTGGCTGACAGGGATCAACCCGGGGACCTCAGGCCAAAGTCCAGCTACACGGTGCGGGACGGCAGCCCTCAGTCTCCCAGAGACAAGAGGCCTCTCTCCGGGCCCAACATCCGCACCCCAAACCTGCCGGTGACGGAGGACGCGATGAAGACTGCCCAGCAGACCACGCGGCCATTTAACACCTACCCGAGGACGGACAGCGAGGGCGGACGCAGCCCCACAGGACAGGTGGGGACGGCAGCATGAACAGAGAGACAGACAGGCTCTTGCCAGGATAGACAGGAGGAGAAAACTGCAGCGCTGAGGGAAGCTATTGACCGAGAGAAAAAGGCAGACGGGTGCTAATTGAGCCGCAGGCTGCTGGATGGTAGATCTTATCACTTTGCTCTGTGTTCTCCAGGTCAGAATTAACCAATTATCTCCACTGAAGGCTGTTGGTGGTGCTTATGTGATAATGTCAAGCAGGTTAAGTTCAGGGAGTTCTTTACAACAGAACAACTTTGTGCCAGCGTGCTTCTCAGAGGGATGTATTTAAAAGATAATTTAAACTGTTCAGTCAATTAAAATACACTTTCTATGGTCCAGGCTTTGATTTCTGTTTGTATTTTTCATGTAGAAAAAAATCAAAGATTTCCCCACTCCATTCAAACTGCTGTAACCTTCCCTTTTAATATAGACCATTGAAGGTCATTTTTCAAATCGGTGAGCAGCGATGTTTTATGTTTTGTATGGTCTTTACATTAATGTGATGAAGTACTTTGATTGGCCATGTCCTAATGGATTTTCCTGACAAAACATTGTTAAATATAATGAGATATTCTGTGATAGAGGATTAAATACATATTATTATCAATATTTTCAATGATGCAAGCTATCAATATATAACAGCTTCAACCCTGAAAAGTGAGTTTCCTCTACATTATATTAATTATACATTCTGTTTGTGATGACGCTCCCTTTCTTCCAGCCGGTTCGACACCAGGACTCTTCCCCTAAAAACGGCCCCTCTGGCGGCTCCAGCCGAGGCTCCTCCAGCTCCAAGCCCCCCATAAGCCACCCGCACCCTCATCACACCTCCCACCCCAGCCTGACCCCCGAGGCCACCCAGCACCCTCACACCCAGCACCCCAACGTTCCGGCCCCGCGGCCCCCAGCGCCGGGTGCTCCGTCTCAGGGCCGCTCGCCGCAGAGGGAGCCGCAGAGGGTTTCCCACGAGCAGTTCAGAGCGGCACTACAGATGGTGGTGGACCCGGGCGATCCGCGGACCTACCTGGACCACTACATTAAGATCGGGGAGGGGTCGACGGGCATCGTGTGCATCGCCACAGTGAAGACCACCGGGAAACTGGTGGCCGTGAAGAAGATGGACCTGAGGAAGCAACAACGCAGAGAACTCCTCTTCAATGAGGTAAGAGTTCAGGAGCTAGTCCGTGCTGTGACTCGGTATTGGTACTTGATACCTTTAAGGTAAATAAGTAGCAAAACTTCTCCCGTTAAACGATATCAATGTTTAAATTCAAATATATACTTATTGCTGCGGTCATAGTTGTTCTGGACTACATTATATTGAGGCGTGTTTTTTTCTTCCCTATTTACATAAATGAGTGAGCTTTTCAAGATGACTACTATTTGTTGGACGATATGTTGCCACAGAAGTAATTGCAATAAATATTAAAGTCATTTTGAGACCATTTTATGCCACTGATGTAAGGATGATATAACAGCATAATCATACAAGTACACCCTCCCTTTATATATCGATAAAATGGACTCTCAGGCTCTGTTGGGTACAGAGAGTCATTCATTCATTAACAGACAACAGTCATTCCAGTCGACATACAGGCGTCTTCATGTAGCGGGGCTCTTCTCTCTCATTGGGCTTAAACCCCAAAATGTTTTTCTCTGCTTATTTGGCTTTAGTGCTAAACTGTTGTTGACAAACACAACGGGCAATATTGAATATTAAAAACAACTCTCAATACAATGCAGTTCAGTACAGCACCATCCTTACTTATGACCACGATGTTAAAACATGTAATTAACATGTAATTAACATGTAATTAACATGTAATCAACACCTCTATAACTCTGAAAACAACAAACCGAACATTGCAAACAGATGACCGGTCTGTTTTTTTCGAACTAGTCTTTAAACCACAATGAAATAACTGCCGTATTTTTCTCTTCTGTATATAATATATTAGAATTTAACATATACAAGTCTAAATGTACGTTCCACGCTTTATCGACATACATGTCACATATGAAGACAGCAGAGCAGCAGAACCAAAGAACCACTGAATTACATACAATGCCTCTCGTCAAAAGAGTTTGATTTGTTGACAGTATAAATTACTTTCATGTAGTAGTAGTGGTGGTGGTAATGGTAGTAGTAATAGTAGTAGTGGTGATGGCGGTGCATACAGATCCATTAGTTGCCACTTTACATGTAGACACTTTAATCCGCTGAGTCATCAGTTGTTTCCGACGGTTGTTGATCGATCGCAGCATCGACCCGACAGACACACGACAGTCTCTCTCTTCCTGCGTTGCCAATGTAAACAAACCTGTCTGTCTTTCTGTTTCCACGGTAACTGTAGGTGGTGATCATGCGGGACTATCACCATGAGAACGTGGTGGAGATGTACAACAGCTACCTGGTAGGAGACGAGCTCTGGGTCGTCATGGAGTTCCTGGAGGGCGGAGCGCTCACCGACATCGTGACACACACCAGGTGGGAATCACTTATGTAGGGCCTCGCATGTGACCTTTTATTCCATGTAATCAATACATCATGTGATACATTTTATTTATTATTACTGTCTCTCCATTACTCTGTGTCCTGCTTTCAATGTGCCTCATTGAAGCCCTAAACCACAAAGACTCTGTTCCCCCACAAGGGGGCAGTGTTGCCTAGTAGAGATATATCACCATGTTTGTATGAGAAGTATTCAGATATTGTACTAAATACAAGTAGCAATACCAGAGTGTAGAAATACTCTTTAACAAGTAGAAGTCCTGAATTTGAAGTCTTACTTAAGTAAAAGTACACTAGTATTAAAATATACTTGAACTACCTAAGTACAAAAAAGGATCTATCTATCTATCTATCTATCTATCTATCTATCTATCTATCTATCTATCTATCTATCTCTCTCGATATCTACAGATATATCTGTCTGTAGATATATCTGTTTATAGATCTATCTATCTATAGATAGATCTATAGATCTAGATCTATAGATAGATCTATAGATCTAGATCTATCGATCGATCGATATATCTATCTATAGATAGATAGATCTATCTATAGATAGATATATGAATTCCTTTACCTACTGCTGGTTACTTTAATCTGTAATAGTACATCACCATGTATTAGCTGATTTATATTATTTTGTATTGATAATCTGAATCTGCAAAGTAACTCGTACCTTAAGTTGTCAAATAAATGTAATAGAGTAAAAAAAATGAAGTAAAAGTACAAGGTACCACGAAAAGAAAATACTCAAGTAAAGTAATAGTGCCTAAGAATTGTGCAGTAGTTGAGTAAATGTACTTTCCCACCACTGACCACAACGACCTGTGTCTTTTTACATCTTTTCACAACACGCATTACAAAATGATTATGACAGTTTTTCAGATTCATGCAACATGTTTGGATGACTACGTCTGCATGAAACATTGACACAATGTCCAAAGGGTTTTCTTTCTGGGTGCTACATCTCATCAATATGGTGTCAGAAAGGATCGCACCTCACTGTAGAGTGAACCAGAAACAAAAAACGGCACCAACACAAGTGTACGAGCAGAGGTGGTGAAAAGTGTGAATCTCTCTGGTATCTGCAGGATGAACGAGGAGCAGATCGCCACGGTGTGTCTGTCTGTCCTGAAGGCTCTGTCCGTCCTCCACACACAGGGCGTGATCCACAGAGACATCAAGAGTGACTCCATCCTCCTCACTCATGATGGACGCGTACGTACCAAACCCTTGACGCTACTTTTTTTTTATCCCTCCGTGACACATTACTAAAAGGATAAAATGGTGAAGTGATGACATTTTGGACAGACCTGGATGTAAATTGCAATTGGCAGAGGTTTATTACTGCGAGATGGTAATTCCTGTTTCAAAAGAACATCGAAGAAAACAGCTGCATCTTTATTTCTTTCTGGGCAGGAAGAGCCCTTTATGAAAGGCGTTGTAGACTCAATAAAGCTGTCAAAAAGCTTCCCTTTTAAAAGGAGAAACTAATCCCGCATCTGCTTTTACATGTTAAACCACAACGCTGTGGCTGATTCAGCACTTTACCAGAATATAAGCATTTTCTCTCTGCAGACATCTTGACTAGTCACAGCAGGATGAGCACCGTGTTTCTCAGAGGATGCACAAGCTAAACACAGAACGTCACCCAGCGTTGCAAGAATAAAGGCTCGTAAAAAGGAACTAAATGCCCGTCTGTTAACCGCTACTGTAGAACTAAGGCGGGTCACTTCCTGCTAGTTGACAAGCAACTTTCTGCTCTCTACATGAAAATGAAACCAACTCGGTTGAACAGCGAGACGAGGGCAAAAAGGAACTGTGCTTTAAGTGTTTGTCAGTCGGTACACAAACACACTGTGGTGTGTCAGCCGTGGACACAGAAGACAGCGACTCTCTGTGTGTCAGAAGTTGCTGAATCCGCACAGATGTGTGGTTCTGCTGAGCGGAAGTTTCAACCGCATCTTTATCATTTCAACAAGGCCGATAAAATGAGGCAAGCCTTTAGCGGAATGTCTTGAGCCTATTTGCCCACATTGGTCACTCCCTATTGTGTAAATGATTCAGTGAATTTCAGGGAACAAATGAGTCGTTTTCTCCACAGCGTACAACATCCTGCTGACCGCCTTCAGTCAGTTGTTGTGCTGTCTGAGGCAGAAAAGAAGCCCCTGCAGGGTCTTCTTCATGTTGCTCATACTCCTGCTCATGAGTTTCTCAGAGGACACCCAGTGTTTCAGAGACTGTGCACTATAAGTGATCTCAGGAAAGGCCTTCACACACTGGGGGCGTGACTCGCCTGCTTATATGATACGTCCAGTAAGAGCGGTTTGTCAAGGTCCAAAGGAGGAATAACGTTGGCGGAGTCTTCGTGTTGTTTTATAAATATAGCTGCAACTCAACCAGTTCCGCAACACGTGATTGGTTGTGTCTGTGTGACCCTGGGAGCTGTGCTGTCCGCGGCAGTAGCTCCTGGTAGCGTCTCCCAGGACTGTGTGCCGGGCGGCAGGCAAAGGTGGGGACCGAGGCATCGCAGACTGGCTCTAGGTGGTGGGGAAGGAACCGGTGCTGGAGGTGGAGCGGTACCGACTAGATGTAGTTAAGCTCACCTCCACGCAGAGCGCACCTCAGGTTCTAAGAGCCATACGGTCTTTAACATGATGATAAATAATATTGAACGAGGAGTAGCTCACAGTGTTTCTTTATGTCCTATTGTGTTCAAATAACGTTTGGACGTGCATTTCTTTCCAAACACTGAAAGATGACCTTTCTGATTTCAAGCTGTTGAAATTCTTTAGTTTTACCAGAGAAGAAGACCTCTGGGTTCACGCAGAGGGCTGGGTTGGGTTTGCGGTTTGGACTGATGGGGGAAGCAGACTCAGCCGAGCCTGAAGTGTTTCTCGTCAGCAGGGTGTGTTCGTATCTGAATGCAGCTGTGTGCTGGCTGATGAAATGTGTGTGTGTGTGTGTGTTGTAAAATAGTGTTGAGACATTGCATCTCTATTCGGGTTCACTGTAACGTCCGAGTTTAGATTCGTGTTAAAGTCTTCGGTGTCGTCTGTGAAGCTCACTCCGTCATTGTTAGCCATCATATAACGATGTCTCCTCTGTGAGTTCGTACGTGTGTGCAGCGCTTCTCATCGCAGGTTCGTTTCATTTCTCTTTCTGAGGCTGAGAGTCGGCCTTGCGGGCAACATCCAGGGCTGCTTCTCTGTGTAGATACCCAGCCATGTACAAACCTTCTCAGAAGGAGGGGTGGATGGTAGCGAAGAGAGAATATCAGGGACTGGACCCTTGACTATTGAAGCATAAGCTGTGCCTCACATCCCCAAATTCAATATTTATATATTTAGTTATGCTGTTGAAACGCACCTTTTTCTTTTTTTTAGAAAAGAAGTTACTTTTCTTCATCCGTCCATAATCTAAAGTGAAATTCACTATGCTGAAAGAATTTATGATAGTATGCACTCCGATCAAACCACCTGCACGACATATTCCTCCAAAGTTTGGACACCTTACCGTCCCATTCTTCAATTATGTTCACAATCTATGTATCATTCAGTCATCCGTCTCCTGAATCTTACTGTTGGTGTATAGTGAAGGCTCTGAGGACAGAGGGGCCTTTGCTCTGCTGATTTTAAACCCACTTTGTGATGTTGGGCTTTGAAGAAAAAAATGACCTGGCTTTGTTTTTTGGTGGTGTAACAGCATCAGGGAAGTTTCTGACTGTTATTAAATGTATATTAAAATATATACATAAAGTAGATGCAGAGAACTATTGTAGTTCTCCAACCTCAAATACACAAACGGGATGTTAAAAAGTATTTGCCACTGTCACCTTGTTTTGTACTTTCTGTGAAAAATGATCTTGACATTCATTCCATTTCTCTTTTTCATCCATCTCTCTCTCTCTCTCTCTCTCTCTCTCTCTCTCTCTCTCTCTCTCTGACTCCCTATGTCTCTGTCTGCAGGTGAAGCTGTCAGACTTTGGCTTTTGTGCCCAGGTGTCTAAGGAAGTGCAAAGAAGGAAGTCTCTGGTGGGAACACCATACTGGATGGCACCAGAGCTCATATCCAGGCTGCCTTATGGACCGGAGGTAACACTCCCCCTTCCCTCAGGATTTCACTGCTATTTGTCACGTAAACATCTGAACAAGGACATCTCTTCTGCTTGTTGTCCGTCTCTCTGTCCAGGTGGACATCTGGTCTCTGGGTATCATGGTCATAGAGATGGTGGACGGGGAGCCGCCGTACTTCAACGAGCCGCCGCTCAAAGCCATGAAAATGATCCGAGACAACCTGCCCCCCAAACTGAAGAACCTGCACAAGGTACAAGGACAAGAAGCTTGAGTTTGACAGAGCACTTTGTGTGCAGCGGGTGTCAGGGATGTCGTCATAACATCACACATTTGAGCTAAAGCAACAAAATCAGCTGCACAGAAAACAGTGTCTTGTATTATAACATGACTCCTCAGCTTCTAACGAACCCAACCTGCCGCGTTGATTGTAACCCGTGTACTTTTCTTTTATTGCACCACTTATTTAGTTGCCTGGTTTCGAGAAGTGACACACTACATTAAGGGAGCGTTGAGTAATCTGTAACCTTTCATTATCGTCCTCTTTATGGGCTTCTATGAGGTCACCTCAAGCCCTGGCACAGATCCCAGCACTGCTGCCACCATCCTCACTACTGCTTTAACATTCAACTCATAAAAGCACTGAGATAGAAGCCGTGGTTAAGCAGAAGTGTGTGGCATAGATTACAGACGAATAAGTCTGCTCTCCAGCCTTTAAGCCAGTGAAAGTGAAGGTTGTTTGGGTTCCCCATTAATTACCCTTTTACAAACCGGCATGAAGGTGTTAATAACACTCTTCCTTCTATCTTCTCCCAGGTCTCCCCTCTGCTCAAGGGCTTCCTGGACAGGATGTTGGTGCGAGACCCGGGTCAGAGGGCCTCGGCCAGCGAGCTTCTCAAACACCCCTTCCTGACGAAGGCTGGTCTGCCGTCCTGCATCGTCCCTCTGATGAGGCAGAACAGGATCAGATGAGACCTCCGGACCCTGGAGGGGCGGCGTGCGCAGGTTCAGATGGAATAGAATACTCCTGCACACAGAGAGGTGGCCCGCAGAGGTCAGAGGTCACGGGGTGAGAGGGCTGCGCTTCAAGGCGACGCCCTCGGAACGAGCCGTGAGCTGCAAAGTGCAAACTGGGTGTGCAGGAGTATTCTTTTTTTTATGTGAATCACTGAACTGTGGGGAGTGTATTCCCTTAATAAGAGGCAATAAGGCTGTGTGTGAGTGTGTGAGTGTGTGAGTGTGTGTGTGTGTGTGTGAGTGTGTGTGTGTGAGTGAGAGTGTATAAACATAGTTGGCAGCACTGTTAATGACAGTGTTTCATGGCTCACTCATGCGTGTGGGAGCAGAGGAGCCACAACTTGCCCGTTGAGTGATTTAAGCCGATTTCATTCAAACATTTTGGTTTTAATTGAAGACCTGGAAAGATTGTGGCTGTTTTTTATTTTTCCATTTGGACCATACCTGGATTTTAAGTGTGAAGTTGGGGTTTTGCACACCAATAGGATGCTTTGAAGGAGCCGTGAGCCCGTTGGCTGATTTTTAGAGACTGGCGGATCGTCATTTTTAATCTCACTGTTATGACGGTCTGGAAGCCGGATCTTCTCACTACAAGGACCGAGGCCGCGGACGGATCCCAGACTCGGACACTACCCTCATCACACCTACAACCTACTACTGAGGGACAAACACTTTTGACTCAGTGATGAGTCAGACAGACTTTATTTTGTAGCCATATCAATTCTAGCTTCCTGTTGTAAACAAGCAAACGTACACTAAGTCAAAAGGTAAACACTGGAGTTGTGTTTTTTCTTTTTTTTTTTTCTTTTTACAGATGAATTGTCCTCTGATTTCCTCCTTATTTTCATGTGTAAGTACAATGAACATAGAGAGATACATCAGTTTTGATGTTTTGCTATCTCAAGTTTGTGATTGTTTTGTTGTTGTTATTATTATTATTATTATTATTATGATTATGATTTGTTTCCTGGTTTGTTATAGAGAGATGTGATGAATTTTGAAGCACTATCAACGAGAGATGGAGTCGGCTCTCCCAGTTGATTCCAGCACGCAGATAATCAAAGCTCTGCATTTCATTGAGTTGTTTTGTAGACCAGACATGACTCACGGAGTCAGACTGAGGCAGTGGTTAAGAAAGCAGGAAGAGACAACGACACACCCACTTTAAACTGAATAGATGACTAAATGCTACCCCTGTTTCAGCCTTCTTTGTATTTTAGTTGTACCATAGTGTTTTTACCTGAACTATTCCAGCTGATAGAGGTAACTGGCGTAAGAAAACGAATGCTTCTTCTAGGGCAGAAAATGAACACGAGCTGCTTTTGAGGCAATCAGCGAGTTGTTGTTTTTATTCTGTGTTGCTTCCTCATCACGTCGTAGCTCCCTTCATTAAACACACGGAGCTGTTTCCAGTAGACGGCCCATTGAATGGATCAATGTTTGATTTCCTAGTTACTGCAGAGCGCTCCTGAAGCCACCTCGTGCTGCGAGTGTTTCATTCTGAAACGATAACTCGGCACAACACACACAGGAAGGAGTAACAGATTAAGAAAAGAAAAGCGGCTTTGTTTAGATTTATACCTCCCATGAATAGAGATAGTCATGTGTGTGAATGAAGATGTATACTATTATTTTAGGGTTCACGTTTTAGGCTGCGTGAAAATCCATTCTGAACACTAGTGAGCAGCTTCTGATAATGCACACACACACACTCACACACAAGCTGAAAGACATTCCTGTCACTGAAAGTTAAAGTTCATTTACCCACCAAAGTACCAAAATAAATAGATTTGCATCAGGCCTCAGTTGATTTCATAACGAGATATCACTAGTGTGCTGCAGGGCGACGTCATCACACCGGTTCCCTCGACAAAAAGCAAACAAATGCTTCTGATACTTACACCTTTCGTTCATTAAGATAATCTTCACAAGTGAACACCACTTTTATGATATTTGATGCGTGAAGTAAAATGCTAACATTGGCTATAAAGGTCACGTGGCTTCACGTCAGCCCCACTTGTCTGAAGGCGGACTATCAGCGGTCTCATAGAGCCACGCCTCTTTTAAGGCACGTCAGAGCTTCAACATTCACAAGAACGGTATTTACTGATGTATTTTATGTAATCTTCTGTTAAACACAGACCTTATTTCAGGCATCTAACCAAAAACCCATCTACTTCAAGACGAGGGAACCAGAGGTGAAACACCGCTGACTCATTTCTGGGTTCCTGCAGCGCTCTATAACAGGATTCTGTTTGTTGTCGAACACAAGAACTCCAAATGTGCTGAAACCAGCTTTCAAGTTGGAGTAAATACACCCTGTTGTTTTCATCAGATCAGGACATTCAGATCGGTCACCGCTTTCAAATACCCAAAAGAAACTGTAGAGAGTTGATCCGTTCAGGTCGGGCTGTTGCACACCCACGCCTGTAGGCTCACACTGAGAGTCAGGAGATGACACGAGAGATAAGGCTCTGTTGTACTTCAGCATTCTCCAGGTGATGCGACATAAACACGGCCTGCAGTCTGTTTCCATTCCTTCTATGTCTTCCAGCTCAGCTGCTGCAGAGCTCTCTCATCGCTCAGGTTTGTTTTTCGATGACTCTTCTCCACCCTGAATGCTTCCTGCTGACGTAGCGCTGCTCCAGAAGGAACACGCACACTTTTGATGTCGTCTTCCCTCACTTTTTGTCAAAGTCAAGACTGTAGCTGAACAGGAGGGAGACGGTGGATATATATGCCTCAGAAAGGTTGTATGTTTTATCGATGATGATTCAGACACCAAATCTATTATTCACATTTTAGTTTTGGCCCAAAAAGAAGATTTAGATGGTTCAACCTTTCGTTTCAACCATCTTTTCCCCCAAATAATGTCAAATTCATAAAAAGCGTAAGAGAAGAGCAGGGTGAAGGCTTCTTGTTTGATTTCTAACATTGTGGATCGTTCCTGCAAAGCACAGCCAGCTCTGGTTAGAAGAGAACGATGTGAACTCACGTCACTATTACTGTTACTTGATGATGTGTCGCTCCAGTAGGTGAAGAAGAAGTGCATCAAAGCAGCGGTACCCTTCGGAAAACGCTTCCTTCCATCGTTGTCTGTAGCCTCAAGCCGTAGTAATGAACCCCGTGGTCTCTGGACTCTTTGTGTTTCAGAGGAAACGTAGTTTCCACTTCTGAAAACATCTTCTCGTGTTTACGGCCTAGTAAAGATTTGAGACGCTGCAGGCTGAACGTTGGTTAATCATAACATTGCCACTTCACTGAGAAGACATTTCTGGTGGGCGTTTTTGTACTTCGTGTCCTCGGATACTTGGCAGACAGTCAATTTACGTGTGTGTGTGTGTGTGTGACTGTGTGTGTGACTCACAGATTACGAAACTTGTTGTGAGGATCCATGTTTATAATCGGAGCTGAATGACAATCGGATGTAGTCGAGGTGATTCAGTTTGGGCTGAGACACTTTCTGTTTTTCTTCACGGTCAGAATCTCAAATTACACTCTTGAATCTGCATATATTGATTCATCACTTACTATACTTTTGAATAATTTTAAACATTTTTTGGGGACTGAAAACAAATGGACTTTGTAATGAAGGGGAGAGAGAACCTGCCTCCTGCTAAATGCTGGTAAATTGGATCTGGTGTGTTTAGAGAGACCAAAGCAGCCGGTGAAAATGACTGCATCTCTACATGTGACAGTTGGAGTAAGAGTAGAGTAATGGGACCACTGATGGAGGGAACTAGTACTATTTCTCCCACTAAATAAATATGAATGTGTGAGTAAAATGTCGTCATAGAATGAAGTCGGTTGTTTCAAGAGCAGAAAGGTTGGGCTCAATAAGGTTAAATGGATTACAGGCATGTTTGAGCGTTTCCTTTCAAAACGAACCCGGTTATCGATCCACGCGTCCTGTACCATAAATAGTTTTATTTACATGACATTATCCTTAAACCTGTGGTATTAAGGTGCTTGTTGATTTCTCATTTGAAGTGTATCAAAATTATTCTTCTGTTTCACAGTGATCATGTGGTTACTGAGGCTCGTTGACCAACCGGCCTGTGCTTTCAAATATGTGACAGAAATACGTTTAGATTCTCACTGACTCGCCTTTTTTCCTTTTTAAAAGCTGATTTTGTTGCAGTTTTGATATGTTTTTGGTCAAACATGGGATTGCAACAACTGTTCCTCCGCCATCTTGTTTTTGTATATTTCACTGGTGTTGTAAAAAAAAAAAAATACAAAAAAACATAGACTTCACTTTGCAAATTTTCTTTTTTCTTTTTTTCTTTGCAAATACAGATTTTGTAAAAGTAATCCACGGAGTGTGTTTTCTGTTCTACTTGTATGCTCTCAACAGACGGACGAGGTGTTCTTCACTCACTCCTGAAGAAGTAACACGTGGTCTCACACACACTTGTGTTACAGAGTGTGTAGCGTGAGGATGGACGTTACGCATGCTGTCTGGTTACTGGACGTCGGCTCAAAAGGCAAAGCAGCTCTTTGATTGTGAAAGATTAACGGCTCAAATCTGCTGATGTTTCACATCACAAATCAGATCTCAAACTATTTATTGACAATTGAAACTTACTCTTTCAGACGAGACCATTTTCGCTGCCTTATATTCTTTCACCACCGAGCCGATCGGTATACACGAGATTAGATTCTCAGTCTCTGGCTTCAAAGGACTTGGTGAACCAACGTGACACTCGTTTGAAAAGCTTTTTGCACCGTAAGCGTCGGCATCCTCTCTTGTGAGGATTTATAATCACAATTCATAAGCTAGTAGACATTTAGCTAAATGAATTCATGGGTTTAAAAATATGACTTGCATGCGATAATCCAACTTTGTGATGTTAGTCATTGCATGATATAGAGATAATCAGATCAGCGTCAACCAGCACAGCGACAATCAATCACTTCGTTTACGACCATTAAATTAATCTGCAACTATATTGATAATCAGTTTGAGTGTTTTTTTTAAGAAAAAAAAAAGTCTAAATCCTCTGATTCCAGCTAAATGTGAATATCGTCTAGTTTGGTTCCTCCTGTGAGAGGGTCATGTGAATATCTCTAAATACCTTTGAGGAAGTAAAGAAAGGAGTAAGTGAGGACATTTTATAGACCAAACCATTCTTTGAGAAAATGATTTACAGATCAGTCGACGATGAAGTTCATCCCTCGTTGTAGCCCTTGAGTCAACTGTTGCACCAAGAGACATGGCATTAAAACAACAAGAGGCCAAGAGGTGCAAATGACCATCAGTTGAACTGATTGATGTGCATTATTTATAGTGGACATGAGAGTTTAGCGCACTGCGAATTTAACAGATGTACTGCATACAAAGTGGACATACTGGACATTTTGGCATCCATCGTTTGACGTACAGAATCGATTGCACCGCACCCCGCTGTGCTCTCTCTTGCTGCTGCGCGCTGAGCTCTCAGTGCTTCTTTCCTTTTAGGAGTCATTAAAGGAAGCGATGCACCACCAACTTTTATGTCCATATGAATTTGGCTCCACGGTTTCAGATGTTGAGTCATCCCTCACCTACCTGACTAATTACAGGTCTGAACGAGTCCCCCACATGAGCTGCAGATTCAGCATCAGTGCGAGCCCTCTTTCTCTCTATTGCATCACAGCAGCAGGCGGCACACTTGTATTTTTAGCACTTCCGTCGAGGCGGTGGAAGCAACTCAGCTGCAGCTCTGCAGCTTTTACTGTAAACAGTCGGCCTGAGGGGTGGGCCCCCTCCAAACAATGTGGGCTAGCACAGACCACAGACCAGCTGTGTTTGTGGTCCGTGTATCTGTGTGTGCATCTCACAAGATTAGAAAGTAAAACAACTAGTATGAAGGTGCAACAAACACAACACGGAGGACAAAGTACATCTGCTTTACTAGTTAGAACTAAACGTGTAAAACTGTAATAAATACACGAGCAACGGAAGCTATGCATGTAATGTTTTGATTATTAATACTTTAAATTATCTGTGATAACCACCACTTTTGTCTGACTAAAAAAGGAATTGATATGAAATGTTGTGCAAACATTCATGTTCCCCAGAGGATGTTCCCTATTGACTTTTCCTCTGTAGCACCACCAGCTGGTCAAAGCATTCACTTATTCTGTGTAGTATCTCTATCTGCCTGAAGGATTGGCTCAATGACGTTTGCGATCTCCAGACGATGAGTCCTGGTGATCTTGGTGTTATAATCTAAACATGGCACTAATATTCAAGTTCAGTTGGTAAAGTCTGGCGCCATCATTGGGGCGGTTTATTTGATGGTCCAGCTCTTTGCAGGTATTTGGTCATAAATGAAATATGACATTCCCATCAGCCTCAGCTTTACTTTGTTTACTGCTTACAAGTCACTGGTCGCAGGAAGTATTCTGATCTTTTACTTAAGTAGAAGTAGCAATACCACAGTGTGTAAGTACTCTGTTACAAGTAAAAGTACTGCAAAACCTTAATTTAAAGCCCAAAAGTATCAGCATCAAAATATCTGTGTATGAATAGTAAAAGTACTCGATATGCAGAATGACCCAGTGCAGAATAATATTATAGTATATTACTGGATTATGATGATTGATGCATTAATGTGTTCATCACTTTAATTTTGCAGCAGGTAAAGATTGAGCTAAGTCTAAGTAGTTTATATACTTGCTGGGCAGCTTAAACTATAATAACATCATTTATTAGTTTATATTGAGTTTTAAATCTCCAAAGTAACCAAAGCTTTCAGACAAATGTAGTACAAAGTACAATGTTAACCGCTGAGATGTAGTGGAATAGAAGTATGAAGTCGCAGAATGTGGAAATACTCAAGCAAAGTGCAACTACCTCAGAATTGTTATAAAGTCAGTGCCTATTAATATTTGAATGACTGTATATGTTGTATTATATGTTGGAGCGGTTTCCTCTTTCTGAATAACTGTGTGACAGAGAGAGGGAGGAAGTAATTGGTTAAATTAGTGTGTGTGTGTGTGTGTGTGTGTGTGTGTGTGTGTGGGGTGGGTGGGTGGGTGGCGTGAGATAAAGAGAGCGTTTCCAGAACATGACGGAGGTGGGCGGTGTTTGGCGGCTCGCGGCGGCCAATCGGAGGCCCCGGGGCGGTCGGTGTCGAGCACAGCTGATCGATGAGTCAGGGGGCGAGAGCAGCCGAAAAGGTCCCACTTGTTGCTGCGCAGTAGCGGAGCGGCGGCTGACTGACGGACGGAGAGTTCCTCATCGATCCAGCTTCACTTCGCGTTCCTGGGATCTGAACCCGTAAACAAGCAGCTCTCCTCTGCGCCTCCACAGCCGATTCACCGCCGCTGCTGCCGCCGCCGCTGCCTCATCCGCGGCTCTCAGGTGAGACATTTTTAAAACCGCTCGATATGTAGTCCGTTCACAGAGAGGAGGCGTCGGTGTTGCAACTTTATATCGATTTAAATCGATCGAGGAATATATCGATTATTCCGCCATCTGATCGTTGTGCGCAGTGTTTCTACGTCTGTTTGAGAAAGAGGTTGCATTATGAGTCTTATGGCTTCATATGTGGATTTGACAGCCGGCTATTTACAGTATGCTCATATTTATATGTGACAGTGATGATATTTACATGTTAAACAGCCTGCATATACATGTGTCATTTACGTGCAGGTACAGTGGATTTGTTCCTGATATCTCATAATCACATGTAGCATTGTGGTGAACTCATGAAGCTTCCACTGAGGAACAAAGCAGCTCTCCACATAATAACCTGTGTGACTATGCAGTGCAGACCACTGAGGGGGTTCCCACACACTGCCGCGGGTCTCTGGAGGTTTTGTGTATTCCAGGTGTTTGAGGGATCAGTGGGGGTGGTTTCGGGGGGATTGCACATGTCTGAAGGAGCTTGTCTCTTTCTTAAAGCAGCTTTCCGAGGTCTTTTAGGGTCTTAGCGGTTTATTGAAGAGTTTATTTTCACTATAATGAAACCTAGAGCTGAAGCATTTAGTCGGTCAATCGATTAGTCGACCGAGAGAATGATAATCTGCAACTCTATTAATAATGTTCCAGAAATCGCCGAATGATCATGTGTATGCTTCTTTCATTCATCTTTAGTCGACTTTATGATGTCATACGCTTCTAGTTTAACCGGCACAGACTTTGAACGCAAAGTGCTTCATGGATTAACGCCATGAAGGCAAACCTGTGGCGGCACCATCATAACAGAAGCTGCCTCCCTGTGCCTTGTTCATCATCACTGAGTACATTGTGTACGATGGCTGTTCAACGCGTTAATAACTCCGACCATCGCATCAATCACTCGCATCAAGCAGGTGGAGGTAATATGAAATATCATATATATAATTATATCAAATCAAATCATCTTCTAATGATTAGAAGATATTTTGAAGGCGCGGTCTGCAAAACCTTATTAAATCTCTTATATGTAAAAACAAGAAAAGCGATAAAGGTTATTTCAAAGTGGAACTCCGACAAGTGTCAAGGTGATAAAACAATGTCAAAGAGGGTCTCAGATAAGTACAAGGTACTTGTACTTAAGTAATATCCCAGTATGGTACTATTACATTTTTTTATTTATTGGTTTATTTGATAAAGGACAGTGCACATTAATAAAACATTTCTGTAAATGCGCCAGAGTTAGCAACAAGGCTATTTTTCATCTGTAGTCCCAAGAGGCAGATGTTACAAAATAAACCTAAAAACAGAATATAAGATTAAATATACAATATTGACGCTTTATAATGCGTGCACAAACAATGAAAAAAAGTGAGAATATTAATATACGTAGTATCTTCACTCAGGAGACTCTTATACATTGTCAAGTACTAACAAGACATGCAACACAGAGGCTCTCACAGTCGACACACAAAGCAAATACAATGAGGGATAATTATGTAAAAATAGAAACATGCACTAAAGACAATATTATGATGCAATTGTTAGACACTAAAAAACATCATGTCAGAGGCACAAAACATAAAAACATGCAGAGTATGTGAGATACATAAATCAGTCAGACACAGCTAAACAACAATAAAAGACATGCAGGTAGATGAGGGTCGACTGGCAAATTCAAGACAGACAGAGAGGGAGGTGACAACAGACAGAGAGGGAGGTGACAACAGACAGAGAGGGAGGTGACAACAGACAGAGAGGGAGGTGACAACAGACAGACAGACAGGTGACAACAGACAGACAGACAGACAGACAGACAGAGAGGGAGGTGACAACAGACAGATGGGGGGGAAGACAGAGGTGCAGTTACATTCCATAGCTGAGTACTTGTTCCACCACTGGAGACATTCCGCTCTTCCTGAAAGAGTAAAATAAAACCATGACGCTATAAACTTGAATCACTCGACAGGGTTTGTAGCCGTCTCTTTCAGAAATACTGTGAAGCAGCAGAGCAGATGTGGTTCAGTGGCTGAAGACGCTCGGCCTATGTGAACTTTGGTGTTCGGTGTTTCATCTTCACTTCGTCTTGCAGTGGGTGGTTTTTCCCCCAGTGGAAGTTTGTGTCTGTGGACGCTCCAGCTCCTCCTCTGTTTTCATGAAACAAGTCGCTGTTGTGGCTGGAAACAGAAAATCCATCACTTCCTGTGTGCCTGAAAATAATACCAAGAAAGAGCCACCTGAGTGTTTACAGCTGCGAAATGTTACTTTACCTAATTTTACACGACTTCACGTGCGACACCTTTCGTGTTCACAGAACCAGGATGGGTTTCTGTTAAATGCACTTCAAGCTCTTTATCGTCACGTTTACAGTGGTGGAATGTGACTAAGAACATTTACTCAAGTACTGAAGTTAAATACAAATTCGAGGTACATGTACTTTACTTGAGTATTGTCATTTTATGCTACTTTCCACTTTTACTCCACTACATCTCAGACCTAAATATTGTACTTCCTCCCCTTCCTGTCCAGTGGAAACCACATATCTCCAGATGTGCTGATGTTGCATGTTTGTGGTAAACTGAAGGATGAAGTGTTCCTTTATGTGTTGAGAAAATCCTCCTACTTCTTCATCTCAGTAAACTCTTTAAAAAGCCTCTTGGATCAGCTGGAAAATGCATCGTCACAAAGCTGAAAACAGGACTGTTGATCTGTTTAGAGATACGAGGTTCTCACAGGACAGAGACGCTACAAACATGATGATCTTATAGAATATGATGCATTGATGCAGATTAAACCAACCAACAGGATATAAAGGAGTTAAGAACGTATCTGCAGCAGTAAAAAATACAATACATTAAGTTAAGCCAATGCATTAAAAACAAAGTGCTCTCTGCTGTTGTAACTTAGATCCCCCTCCGTCATGAAGGGAAGCTGTAGATGATGGAGAGGTGATCATCTGCAGCAGAGGAGAACATCCAGCTTTACCAGCTGCAACATTAAAGAGACCAATATTTATAATCCAGTAATACAATATCTATTATTCTGCATGAGTACTTTTTACTTTTGGTACTTTAAGGTTATTGTGATGCTGGTACATATGTACTTTTACTTAAGTCTGAATGCAGGACTTTTACTTCCAGAGTATTACTACACTGTAGTAATGCTACTTTCACTTCAGTAAAAGATCCGAGCACTTCCTCCGACACTGGATGTCAGCCCAAAAAAAAGAAGACTGTCTTGATTTAACAACACCACAATGTGCATTTATAACACAAAACGGATGATTCGTGTTTTTGTTTTGTTTTTTCAAGAGAAAAGAAATGAGCCATTTTCATTTTCTCCGGTCACAATAATTCCAACTTTGCGAACGTTACAGCAGAAGTTATAATATCACAGAGAGCCGCGGTGACTAAGATGCAGACCTCCCATGCAGATTGTGGTCACATAAGATGGAGAATATTAATGTGTGTGTGTGTGTGTGTGTGTGGGGGGGGGGGGATCTCCCTTCCCTCACTGCTCCAGAGATGACTGGCATCCTTCTTGACATGAAAGCACAAAACACACACACACACTAAAGACAGGAAAAGCTACACCTACACACACACACACACATTTTCGCACACCGAAAAACACACTGTGGCATTTAGGCCGACACCTCAGCAGATGTCTGGCTCCGTTGGCACTAGGGAGCACAGGAAGTTGCGTGCTCGCTGCAAGTCATCTGGAGAAAGAGTCCGGGTCGCTGTGGTGGTGATCGGTTTCTGTTCTGCACCGGCGGTCAGTGTTGACACAGTAAACAGTGTGAGGGGACGGTCTCACTGTGGGTCGACTGAGAGGTTGAGGACAGGTTCACAGTCGTGGTTTGATGGGAGGATAATAGGTCGAAGCAGAATCTATTTCCAGGTGTTACATTATTTATGTACACCCTTGGAAATTTTTGTTTCATTTTGTTGACATGTTCGAGTCAAAGGTTTTTACTGAGGAGGTTTTGGAAATATCTTTGTATCACTCCATAAATTAAAAAAAGAGCCATAAAAATCCATTCTGCCCATGTTTTTTGGGATAAAATGTTGTATAAATCAGGCTGAATGACGCTGTATATGAACAAACCGCTCCGTATAAACCTCCAGAATACAGGTGGGAATGAAACTGGAAGGTTTGGTGTATGTAAGAACTACGGAAGTGGAGATTTCTGGAAAACAAAACTTATTTTGAGAAAACAGCCTTTAAAGATATGAATTGTAAAATTGGGTTCGGGTTAGGCACTTCAGGTGACATGGTTAACACATTGTTTGAGGAAAGGACCCCCGGACAGGTCAGAGCATTATTTATAATATTATTAATATACATATAATATTGATATCCTGAAAATGGACATCGTTGCTTTGTTGAAAATGTTCACATCACGCTAACTGTGTAATGATCCTTGTCACTCACCCGGTCACGTCAGGCCGTTGTGTGCTCAGACTAAAGGAGCCCGTACATAGGTGTCATGTCGGTGCACCATGACAGAGATTACATAACACCTTCCACTTTGTTTGGCAGAGCAAAGTTCATGACTTTAAATTTACCTTACAAATAGCCAAATAGCCTTTTTTCTTTATCCAACAACATCCGGGCTAATTGTCTTATTACATCACCTCATGCTGTAAAAAAGGTCAAAAAAAGGTACATTTTATTTATCACTGCTAATGTTAGGTTCTGCAAATTGTGAAACTGATAACTATATTAAAGCACGTAGCTTGTTCATTTATGTTTTAGCATGTTATAAGTGGAGTATTGATGCATTAAATCAAATGATGCTCGTTATGCTCGCACATTAACATCCCTGGTGGTCACCCGAGTTACAACATTTCGAACCGCCACAGGCTGCCGATGAGTTTAGCCTGAGAGACGAGAAGTAACTGGTTCTCAGTTTGTTTTGAAAATGGAACTGAAGACTTTGATCAGTGCAGCTGCTCGGTGGCCAACAGGTGAAGCCAGCAGAGGTGAGGTGGCACTCAACCAAAGCACAGTGGTGTGGCTGCAGCCTCAGCAGCTGACAGGTGTGGATGAACATCACAGCTGAACATGCATTCAGACTGGGAAAAGAAAACCTTTTGTTTTCCTTTCATACTTTAAACCAGAGCTGCTTCCTCGTGAGCGAGGTGTGACTTCTGCTTTCTGTTGAAGAACACGTTGGTATCAGTGTGTGTTTGTGTGTGTTCTGCTTCTGACTTGTCATCCCTGTGGTGTCTTCAGGAAGTCTGGTTTGATGTCTGCGTCGGTCCCGTATCCTTCGCCCTGTGGACGCGTCAGTCTGGTGTGTGGACTCCTCCTCCTGGCCTCCTCGCCGCTCCTCACGGCGGGTAAGACTTCATTCATGCATTCATTCCTTAAGTCTCTATGGTGGTTCCTCCTTCATTCATTGTAGCAGACAGGCATATATATATATATATATATATATATACGTGTTGAAAATACTGAAAATAATTTTTAAAAATCTAGAAACGGGCTGCGAGAAGCACACATCAGAAACTGTTTCCAGGGGACACTAAATAGTGATGCACACGGCTTGGATACCGTTGTTGCCATGGTTTGGGGCTTATGAAGTAATTGAAGTCGGCTATCTATTGGACGTTTTCTGCGGTGGCTTCGAGAGCTAAACACACACTGAGAAACAATAAGATATTTAATGTTTTTGTGGAAGAAATTGAAGATTTTTCATGTTGCATCATTTATTCAGTGTGTCTTTATTACATCTCGTAATGAAAGCTTTGTTTTATTCATTTATTCTCAAAGGAGGAAAGATTAAAAAATCCTTGATATTTACTATAACCTCTCGGATTTAGTGGCGCCTTTATGCTGACTGCAGCATATTAGTGATACATTGTGGAACTGAATAATGTAGGGAATCCTTTGAAAACCGTGTAATCTCTTTGATTGCGATGTTCCACAGCAGTGAGATACTGAAACAAGCTTCAATCATAAACGCGACCGAGAGAAACGCAGTGCTAGTCCCACTAATAGTCCCACTATTATGATGACTGATTGTGAAACACGAGATGAACTTTAGGCAGCGCGTTGCAGGATGTAGACACTTTTCTGTTTGAGAGGTTCGAAACTGAACCGCCTTCCTCTTCTTATCACAACATTACAGTTTATATCAGGATCACCTTTTTCTGGAGCCACAGTCAGACCTTTGTTTGGGGACTGCTGTCCATCAAAACCTTGGCTGTGACTTCCTGTTTCTAACACAACCCTTCAGATCACAATTTCATCTTTTCTCTGATATTGTATCAAACCAGTGAGACTTGTCTAGTGGCGGCGTCATTACCAGTGATTTTCCACTCCCAGCCTCACACTTGACCTACTCTGCTCGTGTTGATGTTTGGGGTTCGGCAGCGTACGGGGCAGAGGAAACCGTTATTCTTGCAGACGCAGACTTTTATGATGGAGGGTGAAGATAAAGAGGAAGTGGGTAACATTGTTGGCTCATCTGCCCATTTATGTCAAGGCAGAGGTTGTTGTGGGCAACCTTTTGATGCTTGCAAAGAGCTTCCAGTACGCAGAAGGGATTTACGTGTTCACACTCGTCCAAACTATCCAAACCAAATCCTGAGCCTCTATAGAGCCGTGGACTCACTTTGTTTACAGTAACATCACCTCGCTGTCCCGCTGTCACACTGCACCAGTGTCCTCAGCTGGTGTCACTCTCGTCGACGTGTCCCTCGTCGATCACGTTGGTCATTGTAACCAAGATCATTTACTCAAGTGCTGTACTTAGTACAAAATCGAGGTACTTGTACTTTGCTTGATTATTGCCATTTCATACTTTTTACTCCACTACATGTGTCTAACAGCTTTAGTTACTTTTCAGTTTACAGTTTTCCCTCCCCGTCCTGTCCAGTGGAAACCACGTATCTCCAGACGTGAATGTGAATCTTTGTGATATACTGAAGGATGAAATGTTCCTTAATGAGTTGAGAAAGTCCTCCTACCTCTTCATCTAAATAAACTCTTTAAAAAGCCTCTTGGATCAGCTGGAAAATGCATCGTCACAAAGCTGAAAACAGGACTGTTGATCTGTTTAGAGATACGAGGTTCTCACAGGACAGAGACGCTACAAACATGATGATCTTATAGAATACGATGCATTGATGTAGATTAAACTAGACATCAGGATATAAAGGAGTTAAAACATCCACATGCATGTGGAGCAGAGATGGATGAGTTGGAAAGGAAATGAAAGGGATTCATGGTTTTAATCCTGAGAAATGAACTCCAGCAATGGTGTGAGGTAGAGGCCAATGACCACTGTGTTTTGTGTCTCTACAGGCCGAGTGAGTAATTGCACTCACCCTCTGGTGCTAGAACATGGAGGGTTCCGCTGTGATCCGTCGCCGTGTCAAGGTTTCCCCCACAAGAGCTCCATTCACTTCTTCTGCGAGCCCGGGTACCACGTCAACAACAAGGTCCGGTTCTCCAGGTGTCGCCACGGGAGGTGGCAGCCCCTGATTCCTGCCTGCATCCCCGTCAGAGGTAAGAGTTCAGAAGCCTGAATCCACTGGAGTCCAACCTCTAGTACAGCATCTATGTTTGCTTTGTAATGTTGAGGTCGGTATGAAGTGAGTTCTCTTCACCCATAAATGAAATTCCCTGCAAGGAGCAATCAAGTTTTCATTTGTCACATACCTCAAACTATCTCAACATTGTGCCGTAAAATGCTTTTTCAGTATTTTCATATATTTCGTCGAAGAAATAACAAACCGCTTAATCTAAAAAGTATAAATAAAGGTAAACTATGCGACTGGCTCAGCATGTGTCTGGGAGGGAGGATGATGAAAACTTTCACATGTTGTAGTTTTTATATTTCAAGATAACAAAAGGTCAGTTATTGAGCTCAGCGTTCACCTGGATCACTTTATGATAACGTGGCAGACTACCTGCTTCACAAAAGTGAAAAATAACTGTGCTGATAGCCGATGAATAATGGTTTCACTGGGTCCTGGACACCAGTGGTGAAATGTAACTAAGTACATTTACTCAAGAAGTGTACTTATCTACAAATTTAGTAATTTCATATTTACATTTTATGCTTCTACTCCACTACATCTCAGAGAGAAATATTGTCCTACTTCTACTCCACTGCATTTCATTGACACTAATAGTTACTTTTAACATGAAAACCTATAACATCATGCAGTACTGTACTACTGATCTACATAGTAGTATACAAAGTATCTCAAACTGGCTCCTCATTGACGAACTACAACAGTAAAATGCTCTTGTGTGATAAAAATGGAAAAATATAATGTTCTATATTAATATAATACTTTGCATAATGAGTGCTTTTGATACTCACTCCCTGTGTAGATATGAAGGGCTCACTCCAAGCTAACGAAAACAAAGGATACAGTATTGTTACCCTAGTTCTATAAGCACAAGAGGAGCCCTCTACTGGACTCTACGGGTACTAATACTCCGACCGCGAGCACGCGTTCGTCTGAGTGTAGCCGCGCTACGGTCAGCACGAAGCAACAAGCACCAGGGGGCTCAGAGCTCAGATGCGTGGGGGGACACAGGACTTTCACCCAGGAGACCACTATTAGTGTCATAAAGGGTTGTTGAATTATTTTGAAGTTACGCGTTTTCTGTACTAAACGTACGTTTTACTTCCTACACACACTTATTTTAAGCCCAGCCATGATGTTTTTCTTGAGTATGTGACGAGTTGGGTTGAGAACGTGTTGTGAAGACACAACAATTCTTAGTTTGTGAGATTTGGAATGCAGGTTGTGTACTTGTAATGGAATTCTACTTTTACTTCAACAAGGATCTCAGTACTTCTTACTACCAACCTTACAGGAAATCAGATTTAAAGAGTGTTTCTTACTAAATGCTTTGGGTTCGTAGCAGAGAGAATATTTCATTCCCTCTGTGCCCCCCCCCCGCCCGGTCATCACAGTGATTAGCTCAGTTTCTAAGGTAGTCGTGACTCAGCGCAGCGCCGGCCCTGAAATGTAACTAAGTTAATTAACACAAAAGTACTGTACTTAAGTACACATTTTACTTCAGTCTTTTCTTTTCATGCTACTTTATACTGGTAGATCTCAGAAGGAAATATTGTACTTTTTACTTCACTACATTTATTTGACAGCTTTAGTTTAGATTTTTACACTCAAAACATTCATAGAATTTGTAAAATATCGTGTTTGCTGAGATAAGAAAAAACATGGAAAGTTGATTAATTAATTTATTGAAGAAACTTTTGATCATTTGACATCTGGTGTAAAAACATTTGATGGTTCCAGGTTTTAATGTGCAATTGATGCTGTTGAGGTTTGGACTGTTGGTTGGACAAAACATTAGACGGTATATAGGAAGTTTGGAAGCCTCGCTATCGACATTTTGATAGTGACACAAAAAGTTAAAAGCCTAAAAACCAAAGCGAAAAAGTTTGAATGAACTTTCATGAACTGAAAACAGAATGTAAAAGGGTTAAAGTTATGAGGCGAAAACACTAACTACTACCAGACATGACAACGCCGTGGTAGCGAACTGTCAATCACCAGGTAGCCCCGCCCTAAAGCATAACCTGCTTTATGGTCTGTTTGACTCTAAAGGGACCATCATTTACTAAATGAACATCATGCTGTATTGAAGAAGACTTGGAACAAAAGGAGTCGCCCCCTGATGGCCAGTAGTTTAAGGCACTTCTGCAATGGCTTCACTTTTCAGAACTGGTTTGCCGCCTGCGACAAAACTAACTTTGGGTTTTGGGGAATTCTGACGGCATTTCTCACTATTTTTACTAATGAAACAATCAACCGATGGAGGAAATCTACCTCAACCAACTACTACAGTAAACTCCTGCTTTTACATGAATACATATTGATCTAACGACACAATAGTAGAACAGTCACAGGGGACATTTTTATACTTTTAAGTAGTACTTGGATACTTTTACCGAAGTAACATCTTCAATGCAAGACGTTTACTTGTAGTGTAGTATTTCTACGGTGTTTTATTTGTACTCCGTCTCTGAGTGTAGCACTGTTAAAACGGACACTGTAAGTCCAAAAAGATTGCTGTATCTGAAATGTATTTTTGTTTTTGTCGTATTGTTTTTGCATCTAGAACTCGACTTTCCCTCTGCAGTCGATTGAGATCGAGTGTTGTCTCGATGAATCAGACCCGATTCTAAAAGTTCATCAGCACTAAAACTTTAAACCTGTGCAAACACAGCAGCAGCTCGCGTTCATCTCTTGACCTACTTGGAGAGAAACTCAGACTCTCTGCAGCGGAACTAGAAGCTCTATTTGACTCAGACCAGTTCCGACTTCCTCTGTCGCCATTCACTCAAACTCGCTGCGACAGCAAGTCAGAGCAGAAAGAGGAAGCGGGCGAAGCCACCATCCTAACCATTGAACATTTCCTCTGTGTTTCGCTGTCAGAGCCTCACGGAAAGCTACTGTCGTGTTGTCGAGAGCTCGGAGAAACCACATAACTAGATAAAAAAACCTCCTCATGGATTTTGTGTTTGATAATCTATTTCTGCAAACGGAAAACAGCTTTTTTTTTTATCCACAGTGGATGCGACACAGGGGATTGTTTTCTCTCACAGCTTCAGCTCATAGTCTTAAATCTACACGTTTGCATTTTTTATATAAATACCAAAATCTCTGTTTTAACACTTAACACGAGCTACATGCAAACACTTTAATCCCACGTCTTCTGTTTCTGTTCTATAATTGCATCATGAGATTTCCGATGCAATTTCATGCAGTTACTGATTTTCACAACTATTTCTAAGTTTATTTATCCATTTATGGATTCAGGGTGTTGTTGTTGTCATTATACAAAACAGAATTGCACGATGCAATGTGCAATCATAGTGCAAATGGAAAACCTTTGTTCTAGTGTGAATAAGGTAGTGCAAAACGTGGTATGTGCAAAACTAGCACAACATAAAGATTCAATGTTATTCATTTATGGAGGAGTCGGGAGATTTAAGATTAAGATTCAATCTTTTAATCGATTCAAAACGTAGTGAAAGGCGTCTCACGTACACTTGTGCTCTTCCTCCTCAGAAGGTCCGAACATGCGCTCTGACGACAGAGTGAACGATTCGATGCCCAGCATGGCCACAACGGCGGTGGGCGTGTCCATCTTCCTGCTCACCACCACTGCCTGCCTGGTCGTCAAGTCCCGCCTCTACCCCTGTCAATCACACAGGTGAGAAGAAGATTTTGACCTTGTTGCATTTCTAGAACATCTAGTTTGTTATGGATTCAAACGAACACGTTGTGTCGATGAAGGGGCTCATTTGATTGGATTGTGTGTGAGATAGTCTGCGGAACAAACCTACATTTCATATTTAATGTAGATGACTGAGGTCAGGAGATTCACCTGTACAACACACCTGCTTCTTCTCCATGAGGTAATTGTCTCTGTGTGTCCCAGCAGCCGTCGCTCCTCAGACCAGCTGGACCTAATGGTGGACGGACTTCCCGTCTCCCTCCCCTCCTACGAGGAGGCGGTGTACGGCAGCTGGGGGCAGCGCCTCCCCGCCTTCTCGGCCCCGGGACCCACCCAGCTCCTGTTGGCTCAGGAGGCTCCCAGCTGTCACCCGACATCTCTCAACAACCAATCGGACAGCAGCAACCGCCCGCTCCTGCCCAGCCCCGACAACGCCCCTCCCCCCTACGAGGAGGTCCAGTCGTCCCACCCCAGAGACAGGATGGGCGACGGGGACGTCCGGCAGCTACATGTTGCGTTTTCGGACAACAAGGACGCTTGATTGACAGACTGTGGGGTTCACATGTGACCACATGTTGTTTAGCGATGAAGGGTTTTGATTGACAGCTGCAGTGTTTGCTCTGCAGATGATAAAAATAACACCAGACTGCACTTTTCCTGATCAGCTGCAGCTCACCAGCATCAAACGCTAATTTAGACGAAGCTGATAAGCTCTGATTGGTCGGTTGTTGGGTCACAAAGACCTGAACCATTTATACATGAGATATTGATTGTATAGTGTGTTGTAGGAATGTAAGTGACAGAGGAGGGCGCTTGTGTGCTGTATGGGGAAAACCTTTAGATCCTAAATGCCTTATTTTTAGTGTGGGGACAGTATATTTTATCGTTGAAACAATATTTTAGATGAGAATCCGTCAGTTTAGATACAAAGATCACCACACAAACTGGAATGATGAGGTTTCCACAGGACGGCATCGATATGAGAGTGTGTGTTTCTGATGTTGCTCTGGAGACGTCTCCTGTGCTCTCCCGTCAGTGACACTGCAGATCGTGCTGCTGCGCAACGAAAAAACCCTGTGCGTTTCCACAGCAACAGATTCTATTCCATCTCTATCTGGTTCTTTTGTGAAGCGTTTCTCTGGGTGGTGCTGTTGATTTGAAGCCAGCGTGGTGTTCAGACCCAATACTTGAGTAACAGTACTAATGCCATGCTAGTGTGCCGACACTGGGGCAATCGATTGTGACAACGAGCAGCATGTCGTGATATTTATTTTGTGTATTGCAGATATTTAGAGACGTGAAAATATTTGGATTCATTTAAATGTACAGTAAGGAAAATAGGAAATAATTGTACATTTATTTGCCCTGGTGGCATCGGGGCAGACACACAAAGGTGCTTTTAACATCATTCCACAACCTGCAAAGAAAACTCCACAGATGTTGGACCAAATAATCTGAAACTAATTTTAGTGTGTGTGTGTGTGTGTGTGTGTGTGTGTGTGTGTGTGTCCTCACTTAACCCAGCTGGGTCCCTCTCTAACCTCTGCAGAGCGACTGACGCCTTCACAGACCTTGAATGTATTTTATGTTTCATATTGTGGCAACAAATCTTAACTATGGATTGTAATATTTACCGAAAGATTATTTGTACATTGTATTATTGCACAGAATTATATGATGAATAAATGTTGAGATGTTTGACATCTTGTCCTCGTCTGTGACTTTGTGATTGAAGTTCATTTGCATCTCCTGTGTTTGCCGGCAGGACACACCGGACGTGTTTAGCACGGCAGACGGACACGATCGTTCTCCCAAAGTTAGAAGAATGTTTGGTTTCATTTCGCTGCTGCTCAGATTTCAACTACAGTTTTAACTAAGAAATACTAAAACCCATATAGTTCAAATCTTCCCTGGTGCTTCTTAAGCTCTTAACAGCTGATCGGTGCATTAATATACTAAACTACATTTAATTTAATTTTCATGAAATACTATGCTATGATATTACTTGACATATTATAGGACATTTTTTGGCACACTATGCGATTATATTTTTATGGCATTTTTCTTGCCATATGTCCTCCTGTCTTCTGCCTCAGTCAGATAAACTCTTCCACAAATGATAACGCTGACAAAAGTTTTCAAGTTCACTCTTTTACAGAAGCCACATGGAGTTGGGTAAAACTAAGAAATAAACATAAATTGCCATTAAAAACAGTAAACATTCAGATCATTCAGAAATTTCACATGCGATCCAAAACACTGGTGAGCTCTTCCATTACAAACGCTTGTGCGAAATAAACACTTTGCATACACTCTGAATATGCACTTCATTAACAGAAATGTTCTTTGCAACTTAGAGTACATACCAACAATGCCTTCAAAGACCAATTTTATGTTGAAGAAATAGAAAACGCACGGAATAGCGGTCCATCATCAAAGCAACAGCGCCGTCGACCCTCACTAATGACATCTTCTAACAAGGACAGATTCACAAAACCTGTTGCAGGGACATATTATTGCCAGAGGATAGCGCCAGATAAACTGTTTTCAAAAGAGGAAACAATTGAAATACTATTAGTAACATAAGTCCCTGTCTGATACCCAGAGGGTTTCACTACTTTACCTTACAAACTCAAGCATTTCCCATCCTGACCATCTGGGGGCATGATTAAGACCATTTCATTTACAGGTCTGAGGAACACTTGGGTACACATTGGTGACGATGCCTAGGGGGCCAGGCATTTTTCTTGCCCTGACTGAAGCACCACACTTCCTTATTTCAGTGCGAATGGACTACGTACATCATGTAAGTGATGGACTCTTTCTACGGGCTTGCAGTGTGGACAAATACTGCTTGTGCCACCTGTCCCAAAACATGCTAGACAGGCTTTGAACTCTATCCCCAAAACCTGGCAGCCGGAGCAAGACAAGGGGCTGCTTTCTGGATCGGCAATGAAGCAGGTGTGAGAATGAAAGGATCTGTAGGGTTGGTTGACACTGGCACTAGTGGTCGATTGTTCACAATGGCAGTGACCTCAGCTAGGAGAGTTTTAAACACCTTGTGTTTGAGTTTTGAAGATCCTACCTGGAGAAACATAAAATCCAAGATACAGCGCGTAATGCCTATCATCCTCTCCAAAACCCCTCCCATGTGAGAAGAGTGAGGGGTGTTGAATGTCCACGTATATCCATGTTCTGAGAGGAACCTTTCCACAGCTTTTCCATCAGCATGGGATGGAATTTCCAGGTCTTTGGAAGCGCCAATGAAATGTACCTTTATCAGGGTGTATGTGCTTCACTGGTCCTCGGATCACCAGGAACCTTCTGAATGCATTTATAAAGCTAGAAGAGTCCAAGGACTCAATGACGCTGTGACACACAAACAGGTGAGGAGAACCACCCACCTCTTATGCTCATGATGACCTCCTCTAGTGTGCCCTGCAGACACAGACCTGGGCCTAAACACATTGAAGCCGACATTAGTGAGTAAAGTGACTTTCCTGATGTTGTGTCTGCTCATGATGATGACGCACTAAAAGGGTTGCTACATGATGGAGCCTGGGCAGGATTAGTGGTCTTTTCTCAACAGGTCCCAAGTTTGCCTCAGCAAGACAACCCCCAACTCAAATTGTCCATTCAATGAAAGTATCCAGGGACCAAAGTGGTCTGCCTTTTGGAATGATAACATTGGATGCAAGGCCCTCTAGCTGTTTCTCATAAGCCTCATGCTGGACTGTTCTATTGATGACTGAAGTGCCCTTTCCTTTCTTGAAACACTGAATGATATAAATGAAGTCACCAGAGGACCTTACAAGAGAACATCTACACGAGAAGTGGTTGAAGACATATTTTAGGGTGTTGTTCTGGCCCAAAGTGTTATAATTTCTCCAGAGTGGGCCACACATCTTCTGGTTGAGCACAATGCCTGCAGGATTGTGCTCAGTTTTTACATATTGCCACTGTGGCAATGTTCTTCCTCTGAATCTTAGAACTCAGTTCTTCAGATATGCATAGAACCTCCTGTTGTCGTTATAAATGTACCCGAACACGATCCCTCTGTCTGTGTAGAAGGTGACTCCATCTAATCCAGTTGGGTAATGGTGTGTTCTGGGCGTGGAGCTAGTATGGTTTTGCTTGAGACCAATCCTGTATAGCATTTTCCATCTGTCTCTAATGGTAATGTATGTTTATTTCTTAACATACTCATGATAGAAATGTTACACAACTTAGTGAGTTTTTCCATTACAAACACTCTGTTCGCATATACTCTCCATATACTCTTCATTAACAGAAATATTCTTTGCAAATTAGTGTACAAACCAAAAATGCCTTCAAAGACCAACTTAAAGATGAAGAAATAGAACAAAACACATAAATAGGGGCCCATGCTTATATAGAGGCCCTCACTGATGACATCATCAAACAAGGACAGATGGGATAGTGCCAGAAGATGACGTTTTCAAAAGAGGAAACATTTAAATGCAATTAAAATGCATTAATAGAACATACTATGCTATGAATTTTTATGAAATGTTTATGAAACACTATACTGTAATATGTTGACCTTTTTTATAACATAGTACTATGACTTTATATTTTTTATAACATACTATACCATAATTTTTGTATGACAATTCTATAACATACGGTACTGTGACTTTTTATTCAATACTATACTATGACATCCTCGTGATATTTTTCATGGCACAATATACTATGACCTTTTGATGACATTGTCACGTTCTGGAGAGCAGGCAGCAGGGGAAGAACCCAAACACAGGCATGGCAGGATATATAGTGAAGTTAAATGATTTAACGGAGAGGGCATTTATAAATAGGTTTAAAAAAAAAAAAAAAAAAAAAAAAAAAAAAAAAAAAAAAA